TATATATATATATAAACAACAAAATTAACTCTAATAAGTTTCAGCTTTTTTATTATCCCGATTTTTGCCTTGTTGGGAATCATGATAGTCTCCCTCAAACGACAATTCCTGTGTAATTCCTGTTGATAGAATCAAAGGCAGATGAACTGAGACTTAAAATTCTTTGTGAAATGTATACTAAGTCTTATAAAAATTTGAGTGTCCTTTGAATTTTTTTAGACATCACAGAAGTTGTGGTTTTAGATGAAGTGGAATATTCCTAAGATCAGAATGAAAACAATTTTATTTTAGAGCCTTGAATTTCATGATCCTCTTAATGAGGGCAACCGCATATCGCAGAGTTTCTGGATAAGTCCTGATGTAAAATTAGGTTTCACTGTGCTCATAAGCACACTCTCATTTGGAGTCCTGGTGTGGTGCTGTGGTTAATGCGCTGGACTGCCAGGTCAAGTTGAACCACAAGATTGATGGTTCTAGCTCACCAGCTGCTCCTTAGAAACCCTATACAGGGTCGCTATGGGTTGGAACTCAACAGCACTTAATAGCAGCATATTTAAATTATTCAGAAAAGATCATCATTGCATCTTAAATTTTCCTAATTAGGGACCCATCAACTCTTTCTTTCTTTTGACAGATCCAAGGCTTTTCCATTGAGGGGGGAGAGTTTTCCACGGCCCGAGACTGTGCCTCTTCCTTCTCACCAGCCATTCTGATTGGTCTGGCCATGTCCCTGATTCTGCTGCTGGCATTGGCCTCTGCCCTGCATACGCTCATCTACCTGCGGAATCTGGACCAGCACTACGACTTCATCACCTCTCCTGCCCACTTCTCACAAGATGTAGCAGAAGAGAAGGAACTGCTGAGGAGCCAGGCAGTTGAATGCTATGAATTGAGAAGCCAACAGATTTGCAAAATTTATGTTTAATGATTTAACAACACCGTCCTCTCTCTCCTTCCCCACACCCACAGTGGGCTCTGACTGGTTTCTGTTATTCTAGACTGTTTGCTTTGTGCATTAAATGTTTTTCTATAAATGACTTGATTTAGCTATAGCAACAATAGCAGCAAAAACTAAAAGGCATTATGATTTACTTTTGAATCATCCATTGCTTTATTTAGATAAATGGGGCAATGAAAAAAACATCCTAGGCAACCTGAAGAAATTTAAAAAAAAAATTGTTTCCTCAAAAGTACCTTGAAAACAAAGGGATGTTGCCGCCAAGTCAGCTCTGCCTAATTGCAATTCTCTGTGTGTCAGAGTAGAACTGTCATCTATAGAGTTTTCAGTGGCTGATTTTTCAGAGGTCCATGTCTATCTTCTGAGGCACTTCTGGGTGGAGGCAAGTTGCCAGCCATCCTGTTAGCCATTGAACACACCAACTATTAAACCATGCAGCAACTCCTTGTTTTAAGTTAAATTGACTGAAACAAATAAAAAATGCAACACAGCAAAGGGAAAAATCAACACACTTGGTAGTCCTTACCTGTGCTGGTTTGGATGTGCTAACTGTAAAAACAATAAGCCAAGTTTATCTGACAGTTCAGAATTTAAAGTATTTTGTAACCTGGTTTATGGTTTCAGAAACTACATCATAATTTTATTTAAAAATCTAGAGTTTGTTTTTGTTTTTTTCTTTAACAGGAATATAGGGAAAACTCTTGTCCTATGAAGGAGTCCTGGTTGTGTAGTGGGTTACGCACTGGACTGCTAACTGCAGGGTCAGCTGTTCAAATCCACTGGCTGCTCCATAGGAGAAAGATGAGACTTTACAACCTCAGAAACCCTATATGGGGTCACTATGAGTCAGTAATGACTAAAGGCACACCAATTCCACCAGTACCACCACCACTTGTCCAATGTGATAGAATGTTCTTGCCCTTTACTCTGCCAGTCAGAGGCAATCTAGGCTGATCTGTGCAGTCAGGGTGGTAATCATGATGGCTCATACCTTTCCCATCTGGTGGTGGTGTGAGGGGTTGTCTGAGTTCTCTGATTTAGACTTTCATAAGCTCCCTTCACTGCCACTTGAAATGAATTAAGAACAGTGTGCTTACTATGCAATCACAGCTTCTAGGCAAATTCCTCTTTCCAAAGAGATCATGTTCCCCAAATTCTTAATAGAAATTTTGGAGCCACCAAACTACTTCTCACCACCCTGTGCGTCAGTCCTTTCAGGATTTCCCCAGACTCCTGTGATCTTGAACGATATTGAATATATAGACTCACTGTGCCCTCACCAAATCTTCTCTAACATGCTTTCTGTGGTAAGAAGCTCTTGAATGTAAAGAGTGCATCATATTACCCTAATCTGGGTTCCATGCATGACCTAGGCTCTACTGAAAAGATCCCTGCTGCACAAAGCCCATGGTTTAGCTAGATAAACTGCAGGCTATGTACAATTCTCAGGTAGCAAACTGGGATTTTCTCACTCAAAAAAGCATATTTGAATTTGAGGATGATATAATTTCAAGGCAGTCTTTGAATACTCTCTACCTTATGTGAATAGTACAGTAAATCAAGGTCACTCCAGCAAGCTGATTTGCCTCTGCAGTTGGGAGTCACTGAGCTAGGAAGAAAAAAACGAGGGACAGCAACATGGAGGAATAGGTCCTTAGAGAAACCTTAATGTTACAGGATGCCTTTGGAGGGAGGAGGAAGAGGAGGGCTAGCACCTTGTATGAACAGCTGTTCCTTTCTCCATTCCTGCACCTATGAGTCCTCATACCTCAAGAGAGTCAGAAAGACAGTTAATGAAATGAACAGACCCAGTTTAGCTAGATGACCCTTTGAGACAACCTGCCTTTATTTCAGATTCCTGTCTGTATAATAGTGCTTACAATGTTTGCCACATCATGTGTTTAGCTGCTGATATCAACATTTTATAAAGACCAAATGGTACTAGAGCAAAACTACAATTCCTAAATAAATGGAGTTTCAAATGTGGTTTGGGTCTTCCGACATTTTTAAAGGGAAAATGTGGCAGATGTAGGTGGTCAAATCCAGATGTTAACGTCACCTGTACCCTGGTACTGTCTACCTGGATGTCTCCAAATCATCTTGCCTTCTGGGGTCAAGTTTTCATTGACTCTCAGGGGGCTTCAGTTACCTTAATGTAAGGAATTAATCAGAAAGATAGATAGATAGATAGATAGATAGATAGATAGATAGATAGAGAGAGAGAGATGGACTTAAAGAAATTTGCTCCTGCAGCTGTGTGACTTGGCAAGTCCAAAATCTGCAGGTCAGGTAACAAGCTGAATACTCCTATAGGCTTGCATCTCAGGATCCATAGATTAGGTGATGGAAGAAGTGTAGAGTGAAGGGAAAGAAATTGTTCCACCAAAATAGCTACAAAATATCATATTTAGAGGCAAAACACAATCTAAGGAAACTCCCTTTTCAACTGATTGGTGGCATTACCTTATATGAGGGTGTGTTATAGGGAGTGCCATCTGCATTTGTTGCCTTTAAGAAAGGACTCTTGCCTTCTACTGATTAAGAATAATCAAGTTAGGCAGAGTTTCCATATAAGCAAAAGCTTATTATAGGAATGAGGTTTGCAAACTGAGACAGGATAGGGGTAGGGCTCAGGGGTGGGGCAGGGCAGGGGATGGACAAGACTTAACCCCCATCTCCCAAGACTTTGGGCAGGGAAAATACAACATGTTTCTTCATAGCATTAGGTAGGGATTTCTGGAAACGGTCCTTAGGAAGGGGCCATGCTAATTGAGCTCAAGCTCAGCATTTCTTTAAGATGGATTCTGGTAGGAGCCTTCAAAGACATCTGGTAGGAACAGACAGAATTTATTCTGGGCTGTCAAGTATGTTTGGGACTCGAATTCAGACTCCTCCTAGGAGCTAGCATTCTCCTTTGCCTCCCTCCGTGGAAGGTTTGTCTCTTAAAGTTATGCCTAGGGCCCTAGGTAAATCAGTATGACCTATAAAATATTTCACAAAGAAGTAAAAATACAGAATTTTTGTGGGTGATCTTCCTTGATGACAAGTCCTATAAAATATGGAATTTTTATGGATAGTCCTTCTTAATGGCATGTCCCAGGATGTGGCCGCTCAGCTATGTTCCCTGGGCATGTCCAGTACATCTTCACAATTGCTCAAGCAAGGAGGAGAGCAGGCTTCAACATTCCTCAGCATTTAGTCACAAGATTTCAGTTAATGAGTGGACCATATTTCACCCTGATTTCTGGACTTTCATTTCCCCCTTTCTCAGGTGTTTTACAAAGTTCATGAAAAATAATAGTGCTTCAAACTCTCATTGTTTATTTAGTTCTGATTCTCTGCCTCTGTTGAGTCTCTGATGGCCTGACTTTCTCCCTCTGCACTCCCTTCCTAGAGTTGAGGCTGATATGCGCATCATGGAGTTTACGGAAAGTTGGAAAGTAATGAGGTAATCATAGCTGAAGGCAGGAAATAATTTCAAATTCTCTGTTCTTGGAAATTTAATGTTCATTCCCTGCCACAGGGAATGTTTACTGGCCACATTTTCGCTTAGCCCTGAACTTTCACCATCTTAAGAACCTTTCTTTTATCCCCTTCCTATGCATCTGCCCAGTGCTAGAGTTTATAAAACTTTCTTTATCTACCCCTAATGAAAGACTCCAAATTTATCTTTATTATGTAGAGCAATTTAACTCCTCTTTGTTGGAACTCTTTTATCCAGAGTAGGTCAGAGAGCCTCACCTTTCATCAACAGCACACCTGATATAATATTATGTTAAAGAAAGTAGCATTTCCCCCTTATAAAAATTATTTTCTCTTTTTAAGGCAGTCAGTTCAAACTATAGTCAGGTTTACAACAATGGTTATTTATCTGCATATATGGAAACAGTGGTAATTAGGTGGTAGAACTCGTGCCTTCCAGGTAGGAGACCCGGTTCAACTCCTGACCAAATGCATTGCAAGCACAGTCAATGAGAGAAAGTTTTTTGTTTTGTTTTCTTAAATATTTTATTGTGAATTATGTGATAGTTTACAGGGGAGAACATTAGTTTTACATTACATTCATTCTATCATATATCATCTCGTTGCCATGGTTACAATCCCCTCCATGCAATCCTTCCCCC